GTCTCAGACAGCAGCACCGGTTTTAAAGATGGGCCAGTGGTTACAGTCAGAGATGATACTGTAGAATCTGTCTGCATATACTACACAGAGTACTATATATAGTGTAGAGTATTCATCTAAAGTCATTTGGCATTCTAAAGGAGAAAAATGGGCAAAAAGATTAATTTATTAAACTAACTAGGATTTTAATACATGTTAATGTTACTAGGGCTTATATAACAAAATAAATACTATTAATATCAACAAATGGATATGAATTTCTAAATGTGTTGTTGAAACATATCATATAACATGAATCCAATAGATGTGAATTAATTTAGACCTAACAAAGAAATCCTACTGTAAACTGCAATTTATTCATTTTAGCTCATTTTACTTAGTCACCACAAATTTTTTATTGGATAACTTATAGTACTTAAAATTAACAAAAGATTTTTTTTCAAACCTTCTAGCTTGATGATAAATTTAGGCAAACTCCCTCTCTCATGTATATAGGAATGAATCAGACCTGAAAAAAAACTCTGTGGAAATATTCAACATCACCAAAATAGGACTTTAAAATACCTTGATGTATATGAATTCTTAAAAATAACAAATATTACTCAGTCTTTATTTGAACACAGGAAATATAACATTTTATAGTATCAAAGGAACTTTGGATTATTTTATAGATACTGCTACGTATAATCTAGATTCATATTTATTTCTGTTAATGAGAGCAACATTTAGTTAAAAACTGTATAAGCTATTATTGGATATACTTTAAACTGCTTCTTAATACATAATTAAGTCCTAATATAGAATTTCAGGCAAACGTAAAAGTTAAATCTTACTTTAATTGCTTACCTCTTAAAATTCCCCAGATCCTCTAATCCAGACTGTAAAATAGATACAAATATACTGGAAAAAACAATGTTTAAGGGCCAAACTTTGTTTTGATCACATGCTGTTAAACTATTACACATTTTATGTAATTTTTTAAAAATCTAAGTAAAACATGAATTCATAACTCAGTAATCCATTCTGACAATAACATTTTGGCTCTCTAAAATTTGTCAGGCTATTCATTAACATACCTCACTGACAGCATATGAAAGCTTTTGAAGGAAACGTTTATTGAATGTCTGCAAGAATTGTGCTAAGGAGGATACAAAACAAACAAGACCCGCTATTACTCTCAAGTAGCTTATAATCCAGCATAGAGGCAAATACACAGTTAAGATTACAGTTCCATGGGGTAAGTCCTGGGGTAGAGGTAAATGGCCAAAGGTATGAAGCACACTGCAGGGGCCCCAGCCCAGCATGGCTAACAGTGTGGGGAAGGAGGCAGTCTGACAGGCTTGTTCAAAGGGAATGAAACCTATATTAAGTCTTCAAGATTTACAACTTATCCTGGTGGGAAAGAGGCCATCTGGGGAGAGGCTATAGAATTAGCAAAGGCATAAAGACCTCAGAGAACCTGTAAGATTAAGGGAACCAAAAGAAGCCAGAAATAAGACTCGTGAATCACAGGTAAGCAATTAAGTCTGTGTGCTTCACAGCACACTTGGGACCTCCTCTTCAGGGCAAGAAAGGGTCTGGGAAGGATATTAAGTAGAACACTGAAGTGATCAGGTATGTATTTTAGAAAGACGACTCTAGAAGTAACTTAAAGCAGAAAAGGATATTCAAGAGATAATATAAAGATCAAAAATAAGGAGCTGAAGCAAAGACAACAGCCCTGAGAGATATTAAAAGTCAAGAATGGTCTGGACTTTGAGAGCGGCATGAAGGAGAAAAGGATGACTGCCTCTTTTCTGACTTAACCCACTCAGTAGCTGATGATGCTGTGTCTTGAGATGGGAAGTAAGGCAGCAGGGGAGAAAGGGAGAAAACAGGAAGAGAGGAGAGCTGGCGAATTCATTTTTCATTTACTGAGCTTGCAGACCTACGTATTTCCAGGCAGGGATGTCACCTGAAGGTCGTTGTTGCCAGAATAAATGCATACTTATTAAAGACCAGCTGAATTTGTCAGGTGACTGTAATAGCAGCTAACATTTACAAAGTTATCGATCTAAGCGAAGCAGTTGCTAAGTTTTTCATATAAGTTCTTTTTATTGTCCTCCCCACAATACAGATGACAAGAGTTTAAGTGAGTTCCCAAAGACTACCAAGTGTTTAAGTGTCCAAGATGTCTGATTTTAGAGTTCAGTTCCTTACCTACTACATTATGGTGTGTAATGCAAGCTCCATTACAGATTTTTGGACCAGATAAAAGTGGGTTCTGTTCTAATCTCCACTACTTAACTGCTGTTTGACCTGGTCCATCTCCAAGCCACAGTTTCTTTTTCTGCAAAATGGTAAATATAACTATGACATTGTGAGGACATAATAAGGATTGGAGAGAAGGCACAGTGAATGCTGGATGGAGTGTGCATGTGCAATGAATGGCACCAGTTGTTGGGCCTCGGAGAAAGAATTCTCTAAGTAACACAGCTATAATGTAAGTGAATTCCTTTTCATCTCATTATGCACTTTCTTTTAATCCCACCCTAATTGTTCTTCATCTTAATAAATGCTACGTATCTTTTTTTAAAAAGTTTGGAGAAAGGAAATATGCTCTGAAAAATTTAAAGTCATTTAAAGATTTTCTTCAAATGGAAATAATTTTAATGTAAGGGGGAAAGTAATTCTGACTTCTTTTTGGACATATCTGTGGTGATGAATGTCAAAATAAGAAAACTCAAAAGTGGTGGGTCATGTTGATGTCATGAAGAGAGCTTTGGACTTGGAGTCAGAAGACCTGTGTGAAGTCCCAACTCTGATGCTTACCAGCCACACCAATGTGGGCAGCTCATTTAACAGTCCTAAGCATCCCTTTGCACATGAGCAAGATCAAGAGTTTGGCCTCTATGGTCTTCTATATCTACGGATATTGAAGAAGGAGGAAGGATCTTCAATGTTTGTATTGACAAATTTAGAGCCCTTAATCCAGTAACATTTGACACAAACTTCAAGCTTCCTGTGGCCTAAACCAGGAGCACCCATTCTTGGTGTCCTGACCAACCACTCCACAGACCAGCAGCTTCCAGTCTGTCTGACCAGACAATAGCCCCCCTCAGGTGAAGAATTCAATGTGAGAAAAGGGAAAGAGAAGGAGACAGGGAAGAGCATCCTTTTTTTCTCTAATCTCTTCCATTCTCACCACAAATTCAGCAGCTGAGTTCAAGCTGAAAGGCCAGAAGGTCACCCTAGATTTCTGGTTCTAAACCAGGCTGTTCATTAGAAACACCAAATACCTTTTAAAAATTTAAATACTGAGCTCTACAACTCTAAAATATCACTGAGAGGGAATTATATTCGATCTATAAGTGTTGAGTTTCATTTTGCAAAAGGTGGTATGAAGTACCTTAAGTAATAACCTCACTCTAATATTGAACATGAAAACATATTAATTTTAACCTCCACTGTATTAAAAATGATTCATTCTTGAGCACATACATGTCCTAGAGAGATCCACTGGATTAACCATCCTAGACTCTGCCTGCTTTAGCTCTGAAAGTTCCATGTCCTGGGAAACCCCTGGGTCAGTCTAACAACACACACTCATGGGCACACATGCATGTACACATATACATGCAAACATTTAAGTAACCCCTAGTGTGTTAGAACAAAGCACGAATCAGCAGTAGCCCTCTCATGAAGCATCACCATTAAGAAGAGAGCATCATTCACTCAGGTACATTCATGGTCACACCTACAGACCCTCTGACACCACTGGGATTCATAACCATGCAAGGGGACTGGTGGCGTATCATCACGCTATCATCCATTTTTCCAGAGTCTATACTATGAATATTTAAGTTCAATAACCAACATTAAAAAAATAAACTACTTTGAAACCCTAGCCTCCCAAATGCCACTTGTCTTCTTTTCCAAAAGGCTCAGGCAATTTTTGAAGAATAACATCTCTACCATTTGACAGATTTTTTATAGTTTTATATTTTCCTACATTTTGATTTTATGTGAGAACAAAAAATTATATAATATATAATGAAATTAAACAATGGTCAAGTGTATATTTAAAGACCCTTATTTCTTTTAAATAGGATTATAGAAAAATTAAATTAACTCGGAATGATGTGTATACATCAGGACACATATACCTCTGTCTTTTAAAACTGAACTAACTCATCCAAGGAATCTTTTCTAGAACCACACTACTATACACAGTCACACTGCCCTCTATTGCCTGATAGAAACATTAGACTGTAAGATCAGATCATGATCACACAAGCCAATAAAAAATATCATCAGTCAGCATAATCCACACTTGGTAGGTACACACGTCTCCTTACTTGTGACACCACTAGTTGTCTGTGAACAGAGTAGCTTGGGCCAAAGTGGGCAGTGCTGTGGGAGTCTGAAGGAAGATCTCCCACTGACTTCAGTTCTGCCTAGTGAAGAACTAGTCTCCTGGAGACACTACTGATGAGTTAGAAGGAAAGGCCATGCAAATCCTTTCCCTTTGAGAAACCACATTCTTAGACTGACTGTGACCAATCCTGTGCATTCTTCACTCTGCAAAGAGCTTAGCAAAATAAGGAGAGCCCTTGAGGACTGTGTTTGCCATCTTTGAAATGAACAATAGGCATGCTAGTAAAATATTTTCTCTTTTTATGCTTCTGACATTCCACAATAGATGCACTATCCAAGTACATTTGGAATAAAACTAACAAAGGAGGTATGTGAATAGTTTGTACTGTATAAAACACTAAGCATGATTTCAATTCCCTGCTCTTTCTACCAGTGGTTTTACACAATCAAGGAAGACCACACTCATAAGATAAACACCATCAATTTCCAAAGGTTTGTTTTTATCACCTTAAAAGAAAATTTCCAAATCAACTAAAAAAATGTTTTTTTAAAAACTTGTTTTTTAAAGTATATTCATTTTAGTATAATTCTGAGTGGCTGTACCATGACTTTTTTCAACAAACTGAGATTGAATGAAGACTTACTGATTGTTCATTTAAATCCTGGGAGTCTTCCATGTGGTTTTCTCACTTCTCCTGCCACTCCCAAGTAGAAGCAGCTTCCTTCAATTCAGAATGGACTATCTAAAACAAAGGATGGAAACAAAAGAAAAGGAAAACATTATCTTTCCATTTACTTGTAAAATTATCAAAACACACTATGATTCATGTGACGGTAATCTACAGAATTATTTTTAAAGAAGAAAATTCATTACTATTGTCCCCGTATAGGAGAAAAATAATGATCTTGAAAGTCGCATCATAGTTAAATGGAGATATGTAAACAGTGGCTCAAGAGCCCTCCTACAGATGAATGGAAACATCTAAGGACAATTTTGGAGACACAGTCTGAACAAACGGGACACTATTTTCCTGAGAGAGAGTCTGTCACTGAATAATTAATGGATTAAAAATTAAGAGTCTGCATTAACCATTCACTTTATAAAGTACATCAAATCAGGAAAGTGCAGTGTGTGTTTTAATATGACAGCTTGCTATTACAGGAAAATTTGTCTGAATTAACAGATGATCACTATTCATGTCTGAAGAATACAGTGTTATAAATGCATTTCCAATTTTAAAAAGAATAAAAGTAAGACTATTATGATAAAAAAGTATTACAAGATACTTTTATTTGGTTGGGCAAAAGTAGGTTTACAGTTGTTCATATGGAAAATAACACAGTATTTAGTAAATAATAATGTGAGAATAAACTCTATATTTCGCATACTCACAACTATAAACCTACTCTTTCCCTACCCTGTGTAGGGAAAGGAGAACTGATCCATCAGCTATGGTAAGACATTCAGTTTACTATTCAAAAAACTTAATCTTTACTCCATACCATATATTAAAAATTGCCCCAGCAAACTTAAAATTTTAAAAGACTTTTTAAAAAGACATATATTTTTAAATTCCCAAATAGAGAAGGATTTTATAATAAAAGCATGGAATATAACACAAAAGAGCCCAACCACTCCTGTGAATACACACACACAATATTTAATAATAATAATAATGAATAATAATATGCATGAAAACATCCCCTGGTGACCAGGACCACTCCAGCTCAGGCTCGCTTTGGATGCGGTGGCACCAGTGCGGGCCACTAGTCCAGCGATGCTGACCTGCCAAGACTCCTCACCTGCCGACTCTCAATCCCTTCCTGCATGCTCCCAGAGGAACTGTGGCTGATAATCTTTAAAAACATTTTCTTCTCACTATCTGGATGACAAACTAGCTAAGTGCTCCCTTGAAACAGAGAATCAGATGCTCCTTCTCCTTCTAACAGATAAATGGTTAAGGTGGATGGTCAAAACACTGTACTGGATTACAAAGGGAAGGGCCAATTGACTCAGCTACATAAAAACAACACAGAAACTTTGCATTTCTGAATAGAGAAAAATATTAATGGTCCAGAAAAGTAAAAGGACACAATAGGTTACAGAAAATATCTTCAGTAAATATTATAAATGTGACACTGAGAAGAAATAGATCAGAAAAAGTTTAATGGCATATTAAATACTTAAACAAGGATATGAAAACATAAATCATTGTAAGAAATTGTTTACATTTTTCCAAAATGTAACATGTGGAAACAAACATATGGAAAAGTGGTTCCTCTTGCAGTTGCCAAAGTATGTAAACTTAAGCAACAAGTATACATTTTGGACTACTGTATGTATATTCAATAAATGTAACACCTATTATGATAATAGATACAGTAAAAAGAAATGGTATCATTATTCAATTACTAGTGATCATGTCAAGTTCTCTAAAACTTTTAGAAAGCAGTCTGTCACTGCACTTTATTTTTTTAATCTTCACTTGAAGACATGTTTACTGATTGTAGAGAGACGAAGGGAGAGAGAGAGAGAAATAGAAACGCCGATCACTTGCCTCCCGTACACATTCAAACCAGGAATCAAACACACAACTGAGGCATGTGTCCTGACCAGGAATAGAACCCATGACCTTATGGTAGGATGCTCCAACCAAGTCACCCATCCAGGGCTGTCACTGAATTTTTAAATGCTATAATTATGTTTAAAATTTTTTACCCAATGTTACCTGTCCGAAGGAGTAAGCTACCCCCCAAAAAAGTCACGAGGTACTCACTACAGTTTTATTCACGATAATAAAAACTAGAGACATCCTTATCTTTGCAGTGGATTAAATTATGGTCAACCAATTTAATATGTCATTTTATGTCCAAAAAATAATTATTAAAAATAAAAAGTGAAAATTATTGTGTTAAGTGAAAAAATAGGAACACAAAATTTTAGCTACGTTAACACTAATGTACCTGAATTTTAATATGGCTTAAAAGGCAAAATAAAAATAAAAATGTTATTATTAAGCATGATACCTTTGTTTTCACATACTTTGATTATTGTTGATTTTATGTTGTCTGTGCAATAAATAATTTTAAGTTTTCCCACTATAATACAGGAGGCATATGGTAAGTAAAACCAAATTATGTTAAAACGGGTTTAAAAGATCACTTAAAGCTATAAATATTATAGTGAAGATGAACTTTCTAGGTAGATGCATCTGCAAGTGGACCCTGTGGCTTCTTCTATGTGGATTAAATCTCAAAGCCAGAGCAATCTCTTTCAGGGTGGGCAGTCTTGATCTTATTTATTAGTGTTATCTACAGCACCTAGTTCAAGGCTTGGAAGCATTAGAGTTTAATAAATAAATATTAATTTGAATGAATTACACAATTATTGGTGGACAATATCATATATAATGTGTCAGACAACATGAAAGAAAAAAGTTAACAGCTAGGTAATTTAACTTTTGAAAATCCTGTCTCAAATATGTGCCTTTTTAAAGAAAATTCCGCTTTGTTCTACATTTTTCAGGTACATAACTGACTTCATTTTATTTGTACTTTGTATAAGGGCAGTAAGAATAAAAAATGGGGGGGGGGAATTTCACTGGCCAAATGAAAATACTTTAACTTTTCAGAAAATTCAATATTGAGAATTAGTCCACCAGATAGTTTCCTACTCACCTGACCTAATAATAAAATATAATAACATTACTATTGATAACATTCTAACCAACTGTTTACTTACAATACAGCATACTGATTTAGTTTCCTAGGACTGCTGTAAAAGAAATAGTAAACTGGATGGCTTAAAGCAACAGAAAGTTATTCTCTCACACTTCTGAAGGCAAGTCCTAAATTAAAATGTTGTCAGGTCCCTGCTTCCTCTGGAGGCTCTAGAAAGAAATGCTTCTTTGTTTCTTCCTAGTGCCTGGTGTTGGCTAACAATCCTTGAACCCCTTGGCTTGTGGGTGCATCACTCCAGTTTCTGCCTCTATTGTTGCCTGGTATTTTCCCTGACCACTGCTTCACATGGCCTCCTTCTGCATGTAGGTGTCTCAATGCCTGAAGTTCCCTCTTCGTATATGTACACCAGCCATTGGTTTGGGCCCATCCTAATCCACTGAGACCTCACCTTAACTTGACCAGTATCTTCAAAGACCCTGTTTAAAAATAAGGTCATCCTCACAGGTGAGGAGCATGCTGTTTAACGAAAATGATTTAACCACAACACATACAGTTATCACATTAAATTCATTTTTTAAGATGCAATCGGCGTTTCAGTGTAATATTACCAGAAAGGATAGACAAGAATGAAACAGGATACTGGTCATTATGGAAGAAGTCATCATTTTCTAGAAGGGCCACTAGGGCACTGGTGATAACTTGTGTGAAATTAAAATTAAGACTTCAGGAAAGGTATTGGAGCATTAGAGAATTAATCAAAAACTAGCCTCTTTTGGTTAACCACCAGTTCAGAATCCATTTACTGTTCCAGTCGGGAAGCTATTTGCATCAATGTTCCATGTTACAACATAATACTTTGCTTTATATTTCCTTAAAATTGAGATTAATTGTTACTTAGTTTAACATTTTTATGGTAACATGAATTTCTTTCTTTGCCAAACACACTCAGGTACTAAAATATTACGAGCCCAGTGATTTTATATTATTGAACCAAGTAAAACTAGCTAGGCTAATTGCAGACACAGTATTATTTTACATCATAATTTAGCAATGGTTGTTATGTTAAATCCTTTAACATTAGTTTTCACAAATATATGAGAAAAAGATGAGAACAGTCTAAGAATCAAGTAAGAGAAGTATTACCTCATAATAAAGATATAAAATTAAGGAATAATAGTAACCTCATGCTGTTTTATGGAGCAATAATCTAGTTCCCAGCTTTATTTCAAGGCCATTCCTTCAGAAAAGGTGAATTTAAAGCAGGAATATTACCAACCTCACCCATTCCATGTTAATCATTTCTTCCATGGTTAGGTTTTTGATACACAGAAAACTGATTGGATCCTTTTCTTTAACTCTGCTCTAGAAGTGAACTGTAAACTCTGGTCTCTTAGGAAATCAGAATAAAAATCAATAATTCTTCTAATTTAAAGATATAACAAGATATATACATCAACATTTAAAAACAGTTCCCAGACATGGAACGGTGTACTTAGGCTTATCTACCAGCTGGCAGAGAAAGCAAAAAAGGAGAAATCTGTAGTTTGTATGATGTAGCCTAATCTTCGGTCTTTCTAATCGAAGCTCCACTAAAAAGATTACCCAGACATGAGTAGCTCTGGCTGAACATTCGTGAACGTGACTGGGAGGCTCTCTGTGCCGGGCCTGGCAGGGGACGCGGACAGAAGCTGCGCGTGGAGTGCTGCGCCTCTCGCTGGACTGTGCAGACAAACGGCAGAGCCTCCCACTGGCCATTGAAACCAGACATCTGGGCTTTGTCACTGACTCCTTGCCCACTCCTCTCCACATTCAACAAATTACCTATCAATACTTCATGGAGATCCCTAAGGCCTCTCCCTGCTTCTCTCCTCACTGCCCGTACAGTCTCTCGAGCCACCACTGTCCCCTGCCTGGACTGGAGCGTCAGCCTCTCAAGGATCAAGTTTCTTCCAGTCCTGTTCCCTGGACCTGTTTTCAAAGTGAGGCCAGAGTGATACTTTAAAAACTCAGGTTGATTATATTCTGTAAAGACAATCCAAAGCTTTAGTGCTTCCTCGGGATA